GTCTGTGAGGTTTATGGCCATGGTTACTGGGGGGAAAGGGGAGCCATTCACAGAAATATAGGAAGATGAGGCTTGGAAGGGTTCAGTTGTGTTGACTTTGAGGGCACTGTGGGACATGGGCAGTTGGATACACAGGATTGAAGCCCAGTAGAGGACAACCATGAGCACATAAACATGGATTAGCTGGCCAAGGGATGGTTGGTAGACTGATTAGAGCAGAGGGCTTAGGATAGAGCTGTGGAAACCTAAACATTTAGTAGATTACCAAGGGAAGGAAATCTGCAAAAGGAGTGTGAAAGGGAACAGAAGGAGAAATAGGAGTAAAGCCAGGAGAGAGAGATCTCAGACACTGAGGGGAGGGCATTCCAGAGCGAGGTGATGGTCAAATGAAAAATATCACAATATTGACAAGTAAGGTAGGAACAGAACTATGTCTATTTTATTTGACAATATCAGGGTCATTGTTCAACCTATGAAAAGAAATCTACTCAGTGTTAAGGAAGGTGGACCCACGTGGTGGATGGAGGATTACATGGAAAGCAAGGGATTGGAGCAGCCAAAGTGAAGCCTAAGGGAGGTGTGGGACGGTGGCTGGAACAGCATGGGAGTCTGGGAAAGGATTTTGTGGAGGGGCTGCATAAGTGATCTGGGAGGGGATAGAATCCAAGGACATGTTGGAAAGAGTTTTTTGAATAACAATTATGTTGAGAGACCTCAGAAATAGATTTTTGACTTGTTTCAAATGTGCGTGTGAGGTAGAGGAGGAGAGATACTATTTTTACATGTCCTTTTAGCTTTATCCAGGCTTGCAACCTGCATAAATACTGTTGCCTCTTTATGTATAAACTAGTTTCTTTCCTTTCTTTCCTCCATCTTTACCTCTTTTTCTACCTATTGAAGCGCAGGTGCTTGGAGAAGAGAAGTTCTGATTTTAATTCACTGCCAGTAATTTTTTTCTTTCGGTAAGTTAATATAAACAGTCCCTACTATACTGCTGCCAGGGGAAGATTTTGAGCTGGGTTAGGCTGCCTGTTGGACACAGTGCTGTATCCAGAGTTAGCAACAATGTCAAACCAACTTTCTATTTCCTTACGTCTTGATCTTTCCCTTAGAAGCAGGCTGGATCCCCCATTTCAGCTTTAGATTCCTTTGACTGAAAGACTAAACCATGTAATGTTTCAGGTGTTTTGATAAAAGAATCAGAAAACAACGTCTCAGTTTCTTAACTAGAGCAGAGGCACAGGTGTTTATAATCATATAGAGGGACCATGATGAACATTCTCTTCATATTTATGTTCCAAAGTAAAGACTTTAAATAAAGTTCGGTTCATTGATTTCAGAAGGGTTTGACAGCGGTGGGGGTGGATGGAGGAGGGCGCGGATATAGTGGGGGTAAGACGGGTAGGGAAACTTCCTCAGATGGAGTTGTTTTTTATACCTCAGAGACTGAGGATGCTGGAGGATGGAATTCCCGGTTGGCTCTGCTCTTTGGTACTTGTACGTAGACTTTAAATTTTCCCAGGAATAGGTGAGGCAATCTGTACTTTCTTCACATCCAAGTGCCAGTGACTTCACTCTTGGGCAATATCAAATGGCCCGGAACCAAAAGCATTTGCCTATTCTGCCAGCGGATCATGCCAACTCTACCTGGAATCTATGGTTGTTCTGATAAAGAGGACTTAGACCAGCTGGGCACCATTGAATGTCTAAGGACTCAACAAAATCTCCAACACTGGCTGCTGTGGCTACTCAGCAGAAGTTGAAAAGCTGCTGCTGACTAGGCTGAAAGCTTCAGGTCAGTCAATCAATGAGCAGTGTTTGGGAGCCTTAGCACAACTTGGCAAAAGTGTGACCAGCTGCGGTGAGTTAAATTGTTACATGTGAGAATTGATGTTTGACTACCCTCCTGCTTTCCCAAGAAGGCTAGGGCACTGAAGTCACTGGTTACTTGCACACTTGCAGCACACTCACTAATTATTAAGAATGATAACTGAAATGTGTATTATGCCTTCTATTTATAAATTGCTTTCCCACATGTTACCTGATTTGAAGTTCATAACAACGTTGAGCAGAAGGCAATTACTATTGCTAATTTAGAGATGAGGAAAGCAAGGCTCTGAATGCATAAGTGCTGTAACTAAAGTCACAGAGGCAGTAGGAGGCCAGGGGGAACCTGATGTCCTGTCTTCCATGGTTTTGCTCTGCCTGTAGTTGCTTCTGCCCTGGTGTCAGGAATCTTTTAGAGTCTTAGCAGTCTTTGAAGTCAGTAGGTTTCCAGGGTTAGAAGTTCTAGGGCCAAAAGAGCTTGGAGGCTGCTGGAGAATGGGTTTCTGGGCATTGTTCAGCCTTGAGGTCAAATGCAATAAGAGTAACATTAAGTATCTTTGCCATCCCAGGGCATCTTGTGCCTGTAGGAATTAAAACCCCATCAGCTCCAGCTAGACTTGGATAAAGTGCATTTTTAGGTCTCATGGAGCATCACATGAAGGTCTGGAAAATTGTATTTTTATATAAGGCATAGAAGCCTAAATATTTCCTTTTGCATATTTTATACAAAAGTGTGTAAAGGAAGAATAAAAATAACAATAATTGGAACAATAACCAATATGTTACCAATAAAGCTTTTTCTATAATTCAAGCATAGAATTTTTTGTAGGTCAATCTTCTAAAGGAAACAGGATTTTTCAAAAATGAAGTAATATTTTAATATATGGTCATTAAAAATAATGTATTGGTTAAGTAAATAATGGTATTTACACACAATGGGTTACCACAGAGATAACCCATTTTTAAACTTGATGGTGCTGAAAATATCTAATGAAAAAGAAACACATACACAATATATTGTTATGTTAAAAAAGCAATATATACAGCAGTGTGCGTGTGTGTGTGTATTTACGAAAGGAGAGAGGGAGAGAGAAAGGCACAGTACTGGGACGATAGATAGAGAATCTTAGCAGTTGCCACCTCTGGTTCAGGGATGTGCTGGGAAGCAGACGCTGTGACAGAGTTGTGTAAAAGGATTATTGGAGATTCAACAAATGGTGTTGGGAAAACTGGATATTCACATGCAAAAGAATGAAGTTGGACCCTTACTTGATACCATATACAAAAATTAACTCAAAATGATCAAAAACTTAAGTATAAGACTTAAAACCATAAAACTCTTAGAAGAAAACAGGAGAAAAGTGTGTGGTAACATTGGATTTGACAATGATTTCTTGGCTGTGACACCAAAAGCACAGGAAACAAAAGTAAAAATAGGTAAATTGAACTATATCAAAATTAAAAGCTTCTGTGCATCAAAAGACACAGTCAACAGAGCAAAAAGGCAATCTATAGAATGGGAGAAAGTATTTGCAAATAATATATTTGATGAGGTTAATATCTAAAATATATAAACAATTCAACTACAATAGAAAAAAAAATAATCTAATTAAAAAATGGGCAAACGGGGCCGGCCCAGTTTCATAGTGGTTAAGTTCGTGCACTCTGCTTCGGTGGCCTGGGATTCACAGGTTCAGACCTTGGGCGCAGACCTACACCACTCATCAAGCCATGCTGTGGAGGCGACCCATGTACAAAATAGAGGCAGTTAGTTTAGGGACAATCTTCCTCACCAAAAATAAATAAATAAATAATAAAACATGGGCAAAGGACTTGAATAGACGTTTCTGGAAGAAGATATACAAATGGCCAAGAAGCATATGAAAAGATGCTCAGCATCACTAATCACTAGGAAATGCAAATCAAGACCACAATGAGATACTACCTCACATCCATTAGGATGGCTGCTATGAAAAAAACCAAAAAATAAGTATTGCTGAGGATGTGAAGAAAATAAAATACTTGCACACCATCGGTTGGAATGCAAAATGGTGCAGTCATTATGGAAAACAATATGGCTGTTCTTCAAAAATTAAAAATATTTTTGCCATATGATGTAGGAATTCCATTTCTGAATATATATCCCAAAGTATTGAAAGCAGCATTTCAAAGAGTTATTTGCATACCTATGTTCAGAGCAGCATTATTCATGATAGCCATAAAGTAGAAGTAACCCAGGTGTCTATGGACAGATGAATGTATAATCAAAATGTGGTGTATACATACAATGGAATATTATTCAGCCTTAAAAAGAAAAAATTCTGACACATACTACAACATGCATGAACCTTGAGGACATAATACTAAGTGAAATAAGCTAGTCACAAAAAGATAAATACTGTATGATTCCACTTACATGAGCTATCTAGATAGTCAAATTCTTAGGCACAGAAAGTAGAATGGATGTGGCCAGGGGCTGGGGAAGAGGAGAATGGGGAATTGTTGTTTAATGGGTACAGAGTTTCAATTTTGCAAAATGAAAAAGTTCTGGAGATTGGTTGCTCAACAATGTGAATGTACTTAACACTACTGAATTATGTACTTAAACATGATTAATAAGGTAAATTTTATGTTATATTTATTTTACCACAATAAAACACAAAAGGAGGGGCCAGCCTGATGACATAGTGGTTAAGTTCATAGGCTCTGCTTTGGCAGCCTGGGGTTGTGGATTTGGATCCCAGGTGTAGACTTAGACGCTGCTCATCAAGCCATGCTGTGGCGGCATCCCACATACAAAATAGAAGAAGACTGGCACAGATGTTAGCTCAGGGACAATCTTCCTCAAGCAAAAAGAGGAAGACCGGCAACAGATGTTAGCTCAGGGCAAATCTTCCTCACCAAAACCCCCCCAAAAAACCAAGAAAACCAAAAAGGATTACTGGAGAGTACCACCCATGAAAGAAAAGGGGAGGAAGGAGGATTAGGCAGGGCAACTATCAGATTTCGATGTAGACCTGACAGTCTCAACTAGGCCCATAGGCGCTCAGGAGCAAAGATTGCCCATTAAAAGGGGCCACAGTGTGTGGAGATAGCTAGGTCTTCGCATCACTTTCTTGATTTTGGTTACCATGACTTTGACGAACATGGCCTCACTCAGTCATTGTTTGCAGGCTGCCCTGAGATGAGCGGGACCTCAGCTTGAGAGCTGAAGCAGATGCTGAAGGAGTTAACAGTTGGAGGCTGTCAGCCAGGCACACTCCTCGAAGCTGGCCAGTGATTCCTTCTTTGAACAAGAATGAGTGATGAATCTCCATTTCTGCCTCACGGGAATAAGGGTAAGTTTTATTTTCCTTTAGTTTGCATTTCTGTGTATTCCACATTTCTAACAATGAATAAAAGTGAGTTTCTAATACAAAAGAATGTTATTATAATACATGGAAACCAATAATCATAACTGTTGAGCAATTACTTACTTATGAAATATCCATTGCAGATTATTACATGCAGAATCCTACCAAGTAAACACATTTCATCATCATAAATCAAGGGGTTACGAATCCTCCTGTGAAGCTGAAAGAAAATGATTGTTCTGCTTTATTAGTTGATGTTTGTTGCTTTGATATTGGCATATGAAAGGGCCATCACCTTTAGATATTGCCTACTTTAGTTTTGTCCTATGTCTCTAACAGAGTGTAAAAGGCAGTCGGATGGATCATTGCAAAGATGTTTTAACCACAATACACAAACCTTGGAAAGCATCATCTTAATTCGGTTGAAACAATAGAGTTCTTATAGCAGGCTTAAGGCAATGGTGGAGACTTCCAGAGCAGGCAAAGATGGAAGCAGGAAGACAGCTATCATTATCCAATAATGCTGTTAAAAGTTGTCAGATCCTCACATGAAAGGAAGCTTCTAAGAACAAGATGCAAGTGAAATCATCAGAGTGACGGCTCTTTTAACTTTAAATTATTTATGGATTACGCACCCGCATCCCGGGTAGGTTGGTGTCAAGAGGGCTTCATTCACAAAAGAACAAAAATTTCCTAATTTCAATGAGTGGAAGATGAACTGAGGGAGCAAGAGAATTAGAGACCCAAAGGCTGAGAGAAATGCGGGGCTGTTGGCTTTTGTACATCTCTCAGGAACAAGTACGTTGGGTGTTGGGAATTCATCCATAGAAAATTATTTGAGTAAAAAATTACTTTCTCCTGTGAACTCACAAAATAGGGATCAATAAACTGCCAGGAGATAGATAACACTGAATAATAACACACATCAAAATAAAGCTGTTCCTGTAGTACACTTCTGAGACCCAGCTTTATGTTTAATTAAGCAACTGAAATGATTTATGGACTTTAACATTTACTTTAAAAGTGGAATTTTGAAGGGCATATCTGTCTTCCTAGACTTTACCTGTTCAAATAGGAATCTTCAGTCACCAGTGGTGAGACTCAATAAAATCTCTAGATAACAATTTGCCTGGGTTTGGATAAGGCTAAACTGATCACAGAGTAATTCACTAAAACTTGGCAAGATTGTCAAGCTCTCTTAACCTTCGAGGGGTTTAGGAGGTCTTTAAAACAAATTATTTATTTAAAAACTTATTTTATTGAGGTCACATTGGTTTATAACATTGTGTAAATTTCAGGTGTACATTGTTACCTTTCAGCTTTGGTATAGACTGCATTGTGCTCACCAATGATGAACAATATCTAGTTTGTCACCATACATATGTGCCCCTTTACCCCATTTGCCACCCCTTCTCCCTCTGGTAACTACCAATCTGTTCTCCTTACCTATGTGTTTGTTTGTTTCTTTATCTTCCACATATGAGTGAAATCATAAGGTATTTGTCTTTCTCTCTCTGGCTTATTTTGCTTAGCATAATACCCTCAAGGTCCATCCATACTGTGGCAAATGGCATGATTTTGTCTTTTTTTGTGCCTGAGTAGTACTCCATTGTATATATATATCCCTTAATCCCTTGATGGACACTTGGGTTGCTTCCAAGTCTTGGCTATTGTGAATAATGCTGCATAGAACATAGGGGTGCATTCATCTCTTTGTATTTTTTATTTCATGTTCTTTGGATAAATACCCAGAAATAGAATTGCTGGATTATATGATATTTGTATTTTTAATTTTTTGAGAAAGTCTAGGAGGGTTTTTTCATTTGTTCTATTTTTGTTTTTGTTTTGCGTGCGTTCCAGAAACATTTATTACATGCTGGCCACATGCAGCTAAGCACTGTTCTAAGTACTCATGATATGGCAGTGAATAAAACCAAATAAAAATTCCTGTCCTCCAGGCATTTAGCTTCTAGTGGGGGGAGGGGGAGATAAGCAATAAACAAAACAAGTAAGTGAATAAGTTGTATATTAAAGGATGAGAAATGCCATGGAAAATAAAGAAGTAGGAAAGATGTACAGGAAAAGAGAACAAGGAGAAGTGCAATTTTATTTTTCATTTTTTTTATTGAGACATCATTGAGGTGCAATTTTGAATGGGTAGAACAGGGAAGGCCTTGCTGAGAAGGTGACATTTGAGCAGAGACTTGAAAGAAGCTTGGGAGTGAGTGATGGGCATCACATCCTGGGAAAGGGTGCTACAGGTAGAGGCAAGAACAAGTGCAAAGGACCTGCATCAGTCAGAGCAGAAGACCGATGACACCATCAGACTGGATATTCTGAGGAGAGTTGAAAAAAGTGATCATTTACAAAGATGCTGGCAGGTGGTGGGGAAATGACAAGGGACAGTATAGTGTTCCAAAGCTAGAGACAGTGGGACACTATAATCATCACTAGGCTTGAGTGGGTGACTGGTAAGTGGTTAATGGGACTTGGAGTCAGAGACAGCTGTGTTGAGAGTCTGCCTGACAGGGGCTGTGACCTTAGGTTGAGAGATGCAGCACCTGCACCAACACTACAGGAAGGAAGCACTGGAAAGAAGAGGAAAGGAAAGACTCTAACCTCACTCCCATCCTTCCTTCAGTTCTTCTGCTGGGCTCTCCATTGGCCAAATCCACCTGGAAGCAGGGAGACCATTGTGGTCCATCATAGAGTTCATCCTTCCAGGGAACATAGCAGGATTGAGAAGAGTGGAGAGTAGGTCTGGAGGGGCAGACTGAAGACATGGCACAAGCTCTGAAGTGAAATCATGGCTGCCATGAAGAGACATAGCAAGGATATCGCTGTGATTGTAGAGGAGCTATTGAGTGGAAGAGAACTAGGAAATGTGATCAGAGAAATAGCTGACTAGAATTTGCTGGGCATTGTCAGGGACTGTGAAGTCTTTAGCTCTTACTATGAGTGAAACAGGGAGCTACTGGAGAGTTCTGTGTGAAAAGATGACATTAGCTGACATATCTGGCTGCTGAGTTAAAATCTGTCTGCTGTGGTAAGACAAGGGTGGAATCGCGAGATCAGTGAGGATGCTGTTTGCCTATTTCAGGCAATAGAGGTGGTTGTTTAAAGATAGATGCAGAGGACGCTGTTAGAAATGGTGGGTTTCTGAGTAAATTTTAAATGTAGAGCCAACAGGATTTGCTGGCAGACTGATTGGAGTGTGTGTTTGAGAGAGAAAGAGAGGAGTCAAGGAATCAAGGATGACTCCAAGTTGGAAGGATAGATTGCCATTGATTGATTTTGGGAAGACTGGAAGGAGCACTGCTTTTGAGGAAAGCTCAGCAATTAGTTTTGGACACGTTGAGTTTGAGTGTCTGTTGGGACATGGTGAATACACAGTTGGCTTTATGAGTCTTGAGTTTAAGAGGAAAGTCTTACTGAGAGATAGAAATTTTGCAGATGTTCATGTCATATGGTATTTAAAGTCATCAAATGTGATAAAATCACCAAGGGACCTAGTGTGGAGAGAAATGAGAGGGGGACCAAGGACTGGGGCATGGAGCATTCTAATACGAAGGAGAAATTAACAAAGGAGTCAGAGATGTTGCTGCCAGTGGGAGAAAGAATTAAAAAGAAGACAAGGTGGTTTCCTGAAAACAAAGTGAAGAAAGTGTTTCCAGGAGAAGTGAGTGATCAACAGTGTCAACCATTGCTGATAAATCAAGTATAATGAGAACTGAGACTTAACCATTGGATTTAGCAGCATGGAGTCATTAGTGTCCTTGACAAGTCCAGATTTCATAGACTAGTTGGGGGAAAGTTGATTACAGTGGGTTTAATGAGAATGGGGATGGAAAGATATGCATTGGAAATGAGCAATAGAGATTTCTCTTAAGTGTTTTGTATCAAAAAAGATAATACTCAAAAAAAGAGAGTGTTTTTGCTGGAAAGGTGAGTAGAAAAATAGGGCTGTAACTGGAGAGAGGTGCAGTCAAGAGGGATTTTTTTTAACAAGAACTAGAGCAGCATGTTTTAAAAAATGGGAATGATGTAGTGAAGAAGAAAAATTGAAGATGCAAGCAAGAGAGACAGAGGAGAGAAGAGAATTGCGGAGCAATGGCTTTGAGTTAGCAAGAGGGGATGAAAGTTAATAATCAGATTGAGAAGTTGTCCTTAGATATGAACATGGACAGTTCATTCATAGCAGTGGATTTCAAACTTGCATATTAGAATCACCTGGGGAGCTCTTAAAACTCCTGATATCCCCTAAAAATTAAGACACTGTGTCTGGGAGAGGACCCAACACAGTTTTGAAAAATGTTTCCCTGATGGCTTTCAAGTTTTGGCATGTACCAAAATCACTTAGAGCACTTGGTAAAATGCAGATTGCTGGACCTCACCCCAGAGTTTCTGATTCAGTAGGTCTGAGTCTATCTGAGAATTTGCATTTCTAATATCCCAAGTGATACTGATGCTGCTGGGCTAGGGACAACTCATTAAGGATCACTGATGTTTAGTAATAGGAGCAAAGTTATAGTGTATGGGGGCCAATGCTTGTACATAGGTCAATGTAGTGGTGGCCAGAACTTGAGGAAGTTCTCTTCTGATTATTTAATTATTCTCAGTGAAGTGGAAAGCAAGATCATAATTTGAGAGTATGAAAGAGAGGGAAGGTGTTGGGGGTTAAAGGAGAGACGAGAAGTATCTTATAATCATTTAATAAATGGGAGTGTGAGTGGTCTAAGGAAATGTAGCACAATTTTCAGGCAACAATAGAGTCCACTTGAAGTTGGAAGTCAGTAATTTAAAATAAGACCAACCAGCATGTCTATTCATTTGATTCTAGCCACTCTTAGTTGCATAGATGAAGGGTAGAGAAAGTAGGGAGATGAATTTGACCAGTGTTCAAGTTTTGCTAAAAGTATATTACAAAGTGAGAGAGGACCAAGGGGTTGAGTGTGCTCACATGGGAGGATTTATAATGATTGAAA